CCATGCTTGGGAACATAAGCATGGGGTTTCTTTGGATGAGCTGAAAGTCTTTAAGTTGCAATGTTGCCACAAAAGAACTGAATGAATGAAATTTTACTCACCTGTTTGCCAACATCCTCCAAGGGTGTGGCCATTGTGTGCTCTGTAAATAGATTGAATTTATACATTAAACACAGGCACAGTCCAAAATTACTCATTTACTGTGTAGTGTACCACATATACATATTCTATATGATATCAGTGACTGTCACTGCGTGTATCCTTTCTAGTGTCTCTCCATGTCTGCTGACTGTCATCAGATGTTGCCACCAGTTTACTGCTGTATGTGTATGTACTGAGGTTGTGTTGTGTAAGCAGTGTATTTACTTGACAATTTAATGCATGTCCAGGTTGGTATTGTACATATATTGCTTAAGACAGAGCACTATTACAGAGTAAAAATGTTTGTTCAGCAGCTTCACCAGAAACAAGAAATAGAAAATAAGTTAACTTTAAACAACATGAGGGCTGCAAGGTGGTTCGGTGGTTAGCACCGTTGCCTCGCAGCAAGAAGGCCACCGTCCCGGTGAGGACAATCAGGATCTTTCTGCGTAGAGTTTGTATGTTCTCCCCATGCAGCGTGGGTTCTCTCCGGGTTCTTCGGCTTCCTCCCACAAGGTCCAAAAACATGTTGAGGTTAATTGGTGATTCTAAATTGTCCGTAGGTGTGAACGTGAGTGTGCTTGGTTGTCTGTCTCTAAGTGTAGCCCTGCGATAGACTGGCGACCTGTCCAGGGTGTCCCCTGCCTTCGCCCTGAGTCGGCTGGGACAGGCTCCAGCCCCCCTTGACCCTTGTGAGGATTAAGGGTTGTATAGATAATGGATGGATAAACAACATGAAATCAATTTATCGTACCTAGTAGTAAGGTCAAAAACACATCTAACACCTACAGTGACATTACACTACCTTCATAGATATTAAATCTTACGTTAAAAATTTTGTTTTCATTAGAGTCAAACTCTTTGCTTTGCAGTGCCTCCTGGGGGACATTGGGGCATTCCAAGTCAGATGAGATATAATCCCCCTAGTAAGTTCTGGGTCTACCCTGATCCACCTCTTAGTTGGACGTGCCCAGAAAACTAACCACGGAGCCACCCTGCAGCCCCTTTGTGAATCAAGTGAGAGAAAAACGCTGAGTGAGAGGTCATTTAGGAATGTAAACCTAATTTCATAAAATACCTGGTGGAATTCCCATACTCCAAACCCAATGCTCAGTGTTTTTTCTCTACATCTCTTTTATTTTTTTGTTTTTCAATGTCTTATTATCAGTCTTGAAAGCCTTGCGCTTATGACAGTCTGTCTCTTTACATCCACATACAGGGCCTTGTGCACACTGCTGACTTTATGTTCTCTCCTTGCTGCATTCTGCTGCTGGCCTTCTTTTGATGCCATTCCCGTTATTACACTAATACTCCCTACACTTCTTAACAAAAACACTATAAAATCAAACTTCTTACCAATCCGTATAATATCTTTGGGGCATTGACCCTCTTCATCATCCGTATTTTCCTCCTCTTGTTCCAGTTCAGGGTCGGACTGTTTGAGAATGACTGGACAGACCAAGTCTCGGCTGCCAGCATCCAAAGGGTTTTTCCGTGGTCTGAAGAATCAAAAGCATAGCATCAAATGCATCTATAAAAGAAAGCAGTATATCAACCAAAGCTGTAATTGACTTTTTTACTTAGCATGACCTCCAAGCAAATGTTTTTTTAATATTATTTTATTGTTTTCAGCAATGTTCCAACATTTAATGGTCATAAGAACTTCCCTTTTTGGTCAGTTGTTACTGTAGCCATGATTGGTTGAAAAACATTAGTTAGATTGAGATATCTTTAATAAAAACACACAAAGCATTTTATTTTCACCCAAATCTACAGTAGTTTCACACTGTAAATATAGTTGCATGTTCATAAAATTAAGAACATATAAAGCAATATGGCTGTGTGATTACAGTACAGGTAGAACACATGTAAAACTAAAAAACAACAAACTGCATTTAAAGTTCCTCTCCAGTCATCGATTAACCCCCCCCAAAAATTGATATTTTGAATTTTTTTTTCTGTGAAAACAATTCCTTTCCACTTTAAAATAGCTTTGTTGTAACTCTACATTGTTTCCTCCTCTACAATGTGCAGATCTATGAAGTCTTTTTTTTTTTTTTTTTTTCGTGATTTTCTAATTTTGCATCCACATAAATTAGGGTTAATTTTTTCTGTTAGGATTTTCTGTTTTTCTGTTATTGTGTGTATTGTATTCCATGTAATTGTGATCTTTATTTGAAATAAATTTACAAATAAAACCCAATGAAATAAATTAATTAAAAGATCTTTTTTGAATTTGTATGTATTAATGTTTGTCCTGGTTTCAAATTTATTGACACCCTCTCTGAATTTTAATGGTTGACTGTCCGAAAGTTTTTTCCATACCGACGCACGATGTTCAGGTCCCCATCCTCATCCAAGAATGGCACCTCACTTTCTTCCCCACCTTCCTCTCCTTTTTCTCCATGAGTGTCTGCCTTAGATGTTCCACTGGCTCCCCCTGGGTCCTTGTATTTCTCTTCTGTTATTATACCTTTCCCTTCATCATTGTGTTTTTCTACCAAGATCTTGAAGTTGGACAAGAACACTGGACAGACAAATACAGCAACATTGTACAGTAAGGGGAAAAAAGAAGACAAATTTTAAGAAATACCATTAACATTTTATTTAAAAAATGCAAACATGTATGGTTCAACCTGAACACAGCATGGCTCCCTCACAGTTATTGACAGTATTCAGTGCCACATCAACTAGGACAGTATAAGAGCAAAAGCAGCATTTGCACCTGGTCTGTAATTTCTAAACCTTTTCGAGAAGCACAATGCTCTCTCATATATCAAGGTGTACCTGACAGCTATTTCAGTCTGCCATATTGGCCTTTAGGGGAAAGACAGGGATAAACACCCTTTATTATGTCAACTCATCAAGAATGTATTCCGCAAATTGCCTATATCTAGGCCACTAGCTCTATTCTGAGATCTTCCCACTGTGCAAAATACTCTCTTCCATTGCCCTTTTGAACCCTTGGAACAGGTGGAGTTGAAGATGTCAGCAGCCTTCGTGCTTTCTTTAGCATTGGCTAGTCCCACAAGTGAGATGAGGCATGCATTCAGTTTACACTAGACACACTCTCCTATAGAACTAACCACTTTTTCCCACCATGGCTGTTAAGTCTGAGAAACCCTATTTGCACGACTTGGTGTCTATTTTATGGACTGTGAAAATATTCAGACAGGATCTATGCTTTTAGTTGGGTTGGCTAGTTATTTGTGTCTAGAGTAAAACCACACTCAGTCTGCTGCTGCTGGCCTGCATGCACACATTCCACCAGGGGTACAGCAACTTCATGGGATCTGTTTAAGGGAGTGGCTCTTGAAGAAGTGTGCCAGCTGCATGGTGGACAGAGTCTCGTGTTTGTAATATTATAGGTTATCATGGGTGGGATGTCATGGCCCCGACCACTGCATGCACGTCACAATGTTATTTGAACCCTTACACACCCCATAGGACATGTGGAAGCGGAAAGCATTAAGGTAAGTTCAAGGAAAATTGTCTGTTGATTCAATAATCATTAAATTGTTGCAGTTCCCTAACTTGATATCTGACTATGGTTCATGACAGAAATGTGTTTCAAATGATTTCATTTTCCTACTTACCTAGCTACCAACATATGCATTAGACAACATTTAGTAAAAGGTCTAAAAATAAAACCGTAATCATACACACCAGGCTGCCCAACATGGTTGAGGCGTGTCATACGGTGGTGCGGATTAGCAAAGAGCATATGAACCTCTGAGAGCACAGTGTCATGACGAAATATGATCTGTTCCATGGCTGATCATTCATAGTCTTGAAAGAGTTGACCTCTCCAGCCAATGCTTCCCCTTACCTGAGGAGACACAGATAATGAAATGAAATGAAAAATACTTTATTTATCCCAGAAGGGAAATTCAATAAAGAAGGGAAATTCAATAAGTTGACATTTACAACACACGCTTTTAATTTCTGCAACCAACAGGCCAATTAGTGCTTTCCAAATCCGTGTGAGCATAACATTGTTGACTTTAAAAGCCGACTGAGGGATCACGAACCACAGACATGCATGCGGTTCTGTTCATACTAATATAGGTCTGCGCTGGTCTGTGCAGAAGGTCTCATTGCTCCAGGAGAATTTAAATTGTGGTGAGGTAGTTTACATATGTTTGCTGTTTTTCTTCAAATGTGGTCACAAAAAGAACTTAGATTTCTCTATTTCTCCTGGAGTCTTTCAATCCATCGTAACAATACTGCTAAGGATGATTCTGTCTTTCACTGACAGACTAAAGACACATTTAGAGCAATCACAAGTGGCTCGGTGGTCAGCTAGAAGATTCCCGGTTCGCCTGGGATCTTTCTGTGTGGAGTTTGCATGTTCCCCCTGTGCAGTATGGGTTCTCTCCGGGTTCTCTCCGCGTTCTCTCCGCGTTCTCTCCGGGTTCTCTCCGGGTTCTCTCCGGGTTCTCTCCGGGTTCTCTCCGGGTTCTCTGGCTTCCACCCACAGTCCAAAAACATGCTGAGGTTAATCGGTGACTCTAAATTGTCCGTAGGTGTGAATGCGAGTGTGTTTGGTTGTCTGTCTCTAAGTGTGGCCCTGTGATAGACTGGTGACCTGTCCAGGGTGTCCCCTGCCTTCACCCTGAGTCAGTTGGGATAGGCTCCAGCCCCCCATGACCCTAGTGAAGATTTAGCAGTGTATAGATAATGGATAGATAGATGGACAAATGAATAAGTTAATAAGTGTAGACTGTTACACTTGCTAGAGTTTAGCCCTGTCACCACTCCACTGAGTGTTCGTAACATACGTTTAACTGTAGGCTGATTCTCATATTAAAATGATTTAATCCAGTAATATGAAAATGAGACGAGCGTCTGTCTTATTGTGCCACTGATTGGCTCGATGGACTTCCTTCTTCACCTGCATAGATCTTGTTCATTATGTCAGTCGTTTAACACCTGGTGATGATTAAGGAAACTCGCCCATATCAACTGGTGATAGTCACAACTTAACAGACGCAGACAGTGCCTGTTAAATAACAAGCCAGAAAACAAGTTATTGTCTTACGAGGCAAAACCCTCAACACAGAAGCACGTCCACTGTTGTGTTGTATGTAAACCTGTGCATTCACTGTAACAGAAACAGAGCAGAACTTTGAGCTTCACTCAGGTTGAGAAACTGATGTCACATCAAAACTACTCACACAGAGCAGTCTATGAGGATCAAACTGTAAATCATTTCGCAGCTTTTTGGTACAGATTTCATTCGGTGACCGCACTTTACAAAACTAATGAAATCTTTTCTCATTCATACACTATCACCCAAATAAAACGGTAAATATGAAGCACATTTTTTCAAATACTGATGCACTGTTTTTAAGTAAATTTAAATATACAGAAAATCTTAGTCGAGTGTTTACAGTAAAATGTAATAATAATAATGATTCCGATAAGGGAATGATTGTGGCTTCACAGACACCACAGTTAGTTCAGAAATCCAGAGTAAACTTTTCAAGATGCAGAGGAGATCTGATGTTGCAGGACAGAGAGGAACAGTACAGTATGAGTGACTGTACTGTGCAAGTGTTTTATTCTTTGTAATCATTTGTGCAGTCCCAGAGATTCAGGAACATATTCTTTGTTTCATCCTTCTAATTTGCAAGTGCATAAAAACACTAGGATATTGAAGCACTTTACAGATTTATCCTTGATACATACACTTTAGTGAAATAAATGCAATGAAAAGATGTATTCTTAGTCAGTAATGAAATAGCTAAAGCCTTGTGTAAGTGTTTTTGGTCAGTGTATTGTGAGTTAAAAGTTACAGTGTGTCAATCAATACAGGTTAAAGACACCATCACTATCTGTTCCTCTAACATCGAGCATTCTGTAATGTTATCTTTAAAACAACAAGCCCTCTACCTTGTCAAGCCATTCTATCTTAGTTTATTCTGAGATTGTAGCATCTTACATGGATTGTGTTTTCTGGGCATTGCACAGTTTTTGCGGCATCGACTACAGTGTTTGGACATGAGTTGATCTGATGTGCTGCGCTTAATGCACGTGGATATAAATACAACTTTTATGATATATGTTGCCGTGTGAGCCAACATCATTTACACGATCAAATCGGAAATATCTGCGGCACAATAACATCCGAATTCTGTTGTAGTTTTCACTTTACCAGCGTTCGTAGTTCACCGCGTAAATAAATCTAAAGAGTTCAAAAGGTAAACCTAAACTAATCTAGTCTAAACATCTGGAATTCGTTCCATTGGACTAAACGTTGTAGCAACTCTAAGCAGTTCTATTAACAATTCCAAACCAGTTCAAGTGAAACACATCTAAGCTGTGTATACAAACTCAACGGAAGCAAAGATTACAATAAAAACTATCCAGCCTGTGTCTGCGTGTATGCAGGTGTTTGCACGGTGTGTCCAGTGTGTTGGTGAGTGTGTCCAAAGCACATTTAAGTCACAAACAAACGGTTTGACGTTAACTCACCAACATTAGCGGACGGTGTGCGCGGCCATGACAGTCTGGAGGATGTGAGCCTTCTTCTTGACTTCAGGCAGACGAGACGTTGCTTTGACGCATTACTGCCCCCTGCTGTTTGTCCGTTGTTGCGTCTTTAGATCGTTTACATTTTGTTACATGATCACACATCCTGGGTACATTCCTGCAGTCTGTCAGACTTATTCCACTGCAGGATATTTGCAGCAGTGATATTATTGTGCATATGGATGTCTTACAGAATGTGAAGTTTCTAATCAATAAAGTAATTTCCCAAATATCCAAAATGTAAATTGCACCAGTCTGACTCTATGCATGTCAGATAATTAGTAACAAAACGTAAAGTAAGAAACTAGTGTAGGCCTATGTCAGCATGAGATTTTTTAACTCGTATACTATCATAGTTTTCAACTTGCTTTTATACAATAGCAGCATAAAAGAATTACGGAAATTCATGGATGGATGGATGTCTTTTCGTTTTGATGTTCCACCTCAAGATTTTCGGTAGCCCCTCTTGCCACCCCTATGAAAAATTTGTGGAGGCACCCCTGATAACATACCCCTTAAAATCCATTAATTCATCCATCTATTATCTATACACCGCTTAATCCTCTGTAGGGTTGCGGGGGGGTGGGCTGAAGTCTATCCCAGTTGACTTAGGGCAAAGTAATATCTACATAATAAAAGTTACTGTTGCACAGAATGTGAAGAGGCATTTACTGGCACACAGGTCGCTGCTACGAGCCATTCCGTCCCCATACAACCAAAGCGCAAGCTGTGTCCACATTCTCAGACATGTTCTCAGTGGGTGTTGGACTCCGCCAGGGCTGCCCCATGTCCCTGATCCTGTTTGTGGTCTTCATGAACAGGATCTCAAGGCGCAGCCAGGGTGAAGAGGGTGTCTGGTTTGGGGACCTCAGGATTGCGTCTCTTCTTTTTGCGGACAACGTGGTACTGCTGGCTTCATCAGAACGTGACTTTCACCACACACTGGAGCAGTTTGCAGCCGAGTGCGAAGCAGCAGGGATGCGGGTCAGTACCTCCAAGTCCGAGGCCATGGTCCTCTGCTGGAAATCGATGGATTGCTCCCTCCGGGTGGGGGGGCGGAGCTGCTTCCCCAAGCAAGGGAATTTAAGTATCTTGGGTTCTTGTTCACAAGTGATGGGAAAATGGAGAGCCAGGTGGACAGGCAGCTTGGTGTGGCATCAGCAGTAATGCAGGTGCTGTATCGGACTGTCGTGGTGAAGAGGGAGCTGAACCATAAGGCGAAGCTCTCGATTTACCAGTCCATCTACGTCCCAACCATGGTCACAAGCTGTGGGTCATGACCGACAGAACAAAATTGCAGATACAAGTGGCCGAAATGAGCTTCCTCCACAGGGTGGCTGGGCTCAGCATTAGAGATAGGGTGAGGAGCTCGGACATCCAGAGGGAGCTGGGAGTAGAGCCGCTGCTCCTTTGTGTCAAAAGAAGCCAGTTGAGGTGGTTTGGACATCTGATTTAGATGCATCTGGGAAGGCTTCATCTGGAGGTTTTCCAAACACATCCACCTGGGAGGAGACCTCAGGGAAGACCCAGAACCTGCTGGAGGGATTATATCTCTTAGCTGGCCTGGGAACACCTCGGGATCTCCCAGGAAGAGCTGGAAAGCGTTGTTGGGGGGAAGGGAAGTCTGGAATGACCTGCTCCACCTGCTGCCTCTGTGACCCGACCCTGAATAAGTGGAAAAAACTGGATGGATGGATGGATGGATGTATGTATGTATGTATGGATGGATGGATGGATGGATAGATGGATTAAAGTAAAAGCATGAATATTATATAGAGGGGTGCTCCAGCAATTTAGAATTGCACTTCTATAAAGTCTGAGGACTTGGTAGACTGTAAAAAAGAATGATCAAAATTGATGCAGCAGAGGCAGAGACATCCTTCATGCAAGTCAGACTCCCAGACATTGGATCCTACATTTTTTACAAGCAAAGTCAATAGGCATCCTATTACATTTGTGTTTTGTATGCACCTACGCCCTCAGTTTGTAACTACAGTAATGTCACTTGAGTTGTTATCTCAGACATGATAAAGCCCTTCTAGAGCCACAGAAAACCTTAAACAACTGCTTACGCATGCTGAGTAATACTAGCCATGTCTAATCAACTCATCTGTGTATGAAAAACTGGTGGAGTGCCTCTTTAATCAGTGCCACTAGTAAGTAATGAGGTAATACACTTCAATCTTACATCAGATTTAATGGTACAGATTTTTAATGCCACCAACTCTTGCAGTACTTTTTAACTCACATGACTGAATACAAAAAAAACAAAACAAATTCATTGTACTATTGAATGTGTAGAGTGATCCATCAAAAATGTATTGTCCTGTGAATTCTGCAGCAGATTATCCTCTCACATCCTGGAGGTGAACTCCATTTTCCTGACCAGGGATCTGTTCACCTCAGCTACAGAACGACAACCTACAAACACACACACAGAAGACATTCAGCAGTCTTACATTCATTTCTGAGAGATTTAAATTGAACTGCTATCCTAATTTTGAACCTATTCTTCACCTTAAAATCTTGTGATTTATGCAATGAGAACAAACATTTTGTCCACAAATCATGTTGAACTCTAAAAATTTGACTGTTTTCACAACTTAAGTAATACAAGTATATACCTGTACACACACGCACACACACACACGCACATACCCACACCCACCCATACACACACCCACCCATACACACACATACACACACACATACACACACTGCTTGTGTATGTTACCGGACAGGGCCATAGCCAGTCGCAGCTCCTCTTTGAGAAGTTCCAGAAGCTCAGTGACTCCTTGTTCTCCCTGGAAAGATACAAAACAGAGGTGATGTTTTTATTAGGAACCATCTAGAAGCAGAATGGGAGGCAGAGCCTTCAGTTATCAGGCTCCTGTCTTATGGAATCAGCTCCCAGTTTGGGTTCGGGAGGCAGACACCCTCTCTACCTTTAAGATTAGGTTGAAAACGTTCCTGTTTGATAAAGCTCATAGTTAGAGCTGCTCAGAGTCATCTGAGATGTCCCTTAGGGATGCTGCTATAGGTTTAGACTGCCAGGGGATTCCCATGATGCACGGCGCTTCTCTCCTCTCCTCTCCTCTCCTCTCCTCTCCTCTTTATATATATATATATATATATATATATGTATGTATGTATATGTTTATATAGTTGTATATCACCATTACATATGACTAACTCTGTGATTTCCCCCGAGGTTCTTCTGCGCCTGCTCTCTCTGTGGATGTCTCTGGATCTGGAGCTCCTGAATTACAGCCACTGGCCTCACCTCTGCATCCTGCTGCCCCCACCATGATGCCTCCTGTTACCTCCACCAACCACGAAATGGAATATTTCATTGGTCCATTTGAAATGGAGGAACAAAAGGACAACAACTTCTAATAACTTGTTTAACTGTAAACTAAATTTTATAATTCATCCTACATTCACCCAACCAGTCGAGGCAGATGGCCGTCCCTCCCTGAGCCTGGTTCTGTCACAGGTTTCTTTTCCCCTGTGGGGGTTTTCAGTTCCTTCCCACTGTTGCAGACTGCTTGCAGACTGCTGAAGCTTATAGGGAATCCAAATGTTTTGGATTGTTGGGTGTTTCTGCCTTTGTTAAGCGCTATGAGATGACTTGTTGTTGTAAATATGCGCTACACAAATAAAATTGAATTGAAAAAAACAGAATTTTTCTTTTGGGGCCAACATATGTAAATGCTTTTTTTTAGACATAAATAGATTTGACAACCACAATGTGAAGGCAAAACAAACAAATCCATTAGAACTGAATTTTTAAAAAAGCAAATGTAAATTAAATTTTTGTCTTAAGTTTTCACTCCTGCACACACAAATACAGGAAACAATTCATACTCTTTAGGCTAGTAGTAACTAATAAACTCTAACTCTAAATGTCTTTATAGGAGTGTCACGGATGCGCGCACTGTCAGTGAACACCAGGAATGTTTCGGGTTTGATCTGCTTTTCCTTGTGTCTGTGTGGATTTTCTCTGGGTGCTTCAGCTTCCATTCCACAAAAGGGAAATTGGCTGTAGGTGTGAGTGAGTGTGCATGGTAATGGCTTCACCCTCCCAGGACCCTTAACAGGATAAAGTGGGTATAGCGAAAGGGCAAATGTCCTTATTGATCAGAGTGATTAGGGCTGGGGATCTTGATTCAGATTAATGAGACTGTAGATCAGTTTGGTGCTTCACCTGACAGGCAAGGCCCCACAGCACTGGTCGGCCGATGAAGACAGCTTTTGCTCCTAGAGCCAAGGCCTTCAGGACGTCTGTCCCTCGTCTCACTCCTCCATCCATGTAGACATCACAGCAGCCCTGCACTGCCCTCACGACCTCCTCCAATACATCCAACTACATACACACACATTCACAAACACATACATTTCACTGCATTGCACTTTTTATGGCGGTTTACTTCATTCGCAGTTCCTTAGTTTTCCTGGCCACGTTCCTATTGTGATAATGCTTAAGTTTTTGAAGTGAGCCTTGTGTTGGATTGTGATCATGCACATTTCATACAGGAGCACCGTAGTAGTAAATAAAGAGGCTGTAGAACTTGTTGGTTAAGGTCAGTATAGGTGAGGTTGTGGTAAAAGTTGCTAAAAATCTGTAATTTAATTTGTACTAGAGTTTATTGTGCCTTGACATTGCGCTATGTAAATTATCCTGTGTTCTTGAGATTGTAATGTACTGTATTACATGAATGTTTATCAAAAGTAAAAAAAGAAAAGTGATCATACTTGTATACAAGAAAACTATGGTCACAGCCTGATATTTTTACATCTCTAAGGGGTGGCAGGCCTAAAGATGTGGGCTTTATCTAATATGATCTGAGGGCTGATGCCCCAGGTGAAGAGAAGGGAGATGTGCTGCTCAGAGTGTAATTATTTGGGTTTGTAATGAACAAGTAATCATAACCTTCATCCCAGAAGTATGCTAGTTTAGTGTTGTGTCTCTGTTTGCTTACATAAATGAAACAAAGTC